AGAAGAAAAGCTATGGTGCCCTGGATATCACAATGTCACAGGCAAGCAGTTCTGTGCCTTTGAAGGTTATTATCCAATTTTACATCAGGTACAGAAAACCACAATGTGATCATATGGAGGCAAGAACTAGAGTGCCTGTGTGGATAGGCAGAAGTAATTAAATAATGTTTTGCTTTAGCCTCCCATAATGCACTGTTTTATATTACAATTTTGCAATTTCTCATAGTAGAACCAAATGTACAATACTACTTGTGGATCAATCATTTTCATATATGAAAGCCAAAACTATGATATTCAGAGTTTGTTGGGCTAGAGATCACCCCCAGCAGGCAGATCCAAGTTTAGGAGAAATCCAGAAATAGGAGGAAATTAATTAGAGACAGAGAGAAAAATCTTGTTTCGTGCACCCTCTTGCCCTTGCTAACAATTGTTTTCTTGTGGCTGCATAAATGGTCACCAGAGGAATAGACGTGTAAAAGTTAACATCTCATTAAGTACTCCATGCACTTGTAAGGGAGAATAACCACCAAATAAGTTCAAGACTTACATTTAAACATCTATAAAGATGTGCTATGTGAATAGCACAGGCTGACTTAATGAGATTTTATTGTATTAATTTAATGTTTTAACTATTGATGTTTATTGTTGTTATGTTATTTATTGTATTGAATTGTAGGCATCGAATATGTGCCAGCTGGAAGCTGTCCTGAGTCCCCCCCAGGGGGTTGAGAAGGGCGGGGTAGAAGTGCTCGAAATAAATAAATAAAATAAAATAAACACAGATTTATAATTTCATAGGTTTGTACACACGTCATATTTCCCCATTGCAATTCCAATAATGTTTAAAGTAGTTCTTGTGATTTTAATGACATCACACAGTGTGGTCATATTCTCTTTTTCATACACATGCATCTCATATGCACAAATAGAAACATTATTTGATTTCAATACACAGGTCAGTTCTTCTTCCACACCCTTGGCTATTGTTTATCCTTCGTGTTCTATAACATACTACCATTATCATGTTCACCGAGGAAAGATCAACATCAACAATAAATGTTGGCCAAGCCTTTACAGGGCTTTTGACATTTGTCTATGAGCCATATGAATCTGAGTGGTACATGTGGGCCACAGACTGCTAAGGTCTATTAGAATATACATATGTTACTTGCATACATTTCATTTTTGTTGTTGTGCCTTCAATAAGTTTCTGATATGTGGGTTTTTTTTCAAAACTGCAAGCAGCTTTTGGTATGAGAGAATTGGCTGTCTGCAAGGACATTGTCCAGGGGATGCCCAGATGTTTTACCATCCTGTGGGAGGCTTCTCTCATGTCCCCGCATGAGGACCTGGAACTGACAGAGGAAGCTCAACCTGCTCTTCCCGGATTCAAACCACCAACCTTTTGGTCAGCAATCCTGCCAGCACAAGGGTTTAACCCACTGCACCACTGGGGGCTCCTTCCAATATATGGCGACATTAAGGCAAAAGGTTTGCCTTTTGATATATGGTGGCTAAGACAAACCTATTTTCTGGAGCTAAGAATATATGTCTTGACCAATATCACCCAGTGCGTTTTCATGGCTGAGAAGGGAATCAAATCCTACTCTCCAGAGTCAAAACCCAACGCTCAAACCACTACACCATAATGGCTCTCATGTCACTATTGTTATGCCTGTATTTATATTTCATATTTATATTTATAAGATATAGATTGTAAAGTGAATCTTGGTAGGTGAAATATAGTTTTTTTTAAGATGATGCTTCAAAAAGAAAAAAAAAGATCTGCATGCACTAAAATAAATGTCATAACTTAATTGTATGGCTGTAAGAAAAGGCAATGTGTCTGTTACACTTCAGTGTCATCGAAAAATCCTTTTCCCAACCTAACCATTGTAACACGAAATATGAATATAACAAATTAATGGAAATTTATATACTGCAGTATCTGTATGTATGTACAAATAATAAACCCTATAGAACCACAATAGCATCTCTAATTATATGTCAGTTTGATTTTTGAAATGTGCTTATTGGCAGCAATCAAACAAAATTATATATCTCTGGTACTTTAACTTAATTACATCATAAATCATGTATCCCAGATATATATATATATATATATATATATATATATATATATTTCTCTGGGATACATGATTGGGATACTTATATGGCTTGATACATTTTTAAATGTTATGTAGTAATATTTTATTGCATATATATATATATATATATATATATCAATAAAATATTACTACATAACATTTAAAAATGTATCAAGCCATATAAGTATCCCATTCAAATGTGTGTACACAAGGTAACATTTACAGACGTATGCTATTACAATTAAACTTCAATTGTTTTATAATCACAAAGAAAATTAGTGTTCAAGAGTACCATCAGCTCATTGTCACGATTGGTAGTATACTCTAAACCAGGCATGGACAAATTTGGCCCTCCATGTGTTTTGGACTTCAACTCCCAGAAATCCCAGCCAGCTTGCCAGCTTGCCAGCTGTTAGGAATTGTGGGAGTTGGAAGGTCAAAACACCAGGAGGGCTGAATTTTGCCCATGCCTGCTCTAAACACTTTTGTATCCTCCTTGACATATTGGGTTAGAACCAGGAATGTTTCCTATAATGCACAAAACAATGCAATTCACCACAGAAAGCTTTTTTGGATACATTCTATATTTTATTCAGTGAAACATCTATATTAAAACTCCAAACAATTGCTTCAAACTATATACTGTGTACACTCATGGATAAGTTGACCTCATGTACAAGTCATGGACAAGTATTGGGGGCATAAGTTTGATATGACCCATGGATAAATTGAGGGTTATTCCACAGAAAAAGAAAGGGGAAAGTGCCAGTATTGCCTCAAGGGGCCAGCTACTGGCTTCCTTTGCCTTTTTCCCACCAAGGTATTCAAAAAGGTGCTACTTTAGAGGGCAGGTGGGCATTGCCTCTTTTAAACTGTCCTAGGTCATACTAAGCTTTCACATTTTGTCACTCTAATCAGAAAAGGGAATGGTTTCCTATTTGTAAGAGTTAAGGGACAGTACTCAAATTTGGCCATGGATAAGTCAAATTTTAAGCTTGATTTTTAAATTAAAATTAGGCTCAATTTTTTAGCTAAAATTTCTAGACTTACACATGAGTATGTAGGATATTTACCATCTTCCCGGGCAGAAGACAGACTTCTCAAATTAAAAATAAGGAAAGTACATTTGCACCAAAATATTTTAATAGATACCTCTATAAACCACACATTTTAGTGCCATCAGCTAATGAATGACGTTGCACTGGGGAAATGAATTTATGAAAAAAGAAAAGACACCAAAGTGAATGCAGCAGTATAAGGGAAAGGAATAGATCTAAATGGAAGTAGAATTAATGATTTGTTGTTGTCCCAGTGTCTTACAGTGCAAGGAATTTCCCACAGATACAGTCTGAGCTGGATCCAAGTCCAATTGAAAATCGGCAAAGTTTATTCCACTGGACTTCAGTGTTCATGGAAGTATAACCTAACCAAATACCTTCTTGTCTGGAGATTTTATTTAGTAGTTTCTTATCTGCTCCAAGAAAAGCATTCCACACTAAGAAGAACTTCAGGCAAGAAAGAACTATTATGTGCTTGTGTGCACAATACTCGAGATAGAGTGACCATAATAACTTGAGAATGATAAAATTGTGCACTGTCCCAAGTGCATTATTGCTATTATAGAATTGAACATATGTCTAAAAATGAGAAAAACAGTTATGTATATATATGGACCAATGCCATGTTTGTGACATAGCCAAGAAAAAAAGTTCCAGTTGTGTCTATGGGCATTTCATAATTCAGTGTAGTAGAAAATTGATACTGAAGTCATATGCCAAGTTATATTATTCACATACATTTTTTCTTATGATAGTTCTTTATGGATTTTAAGAGAGCTCCTGGAATATGGCCTTCTGTCTAGCTCTTATTTTCTATAGTGTACACAGCATCTAGAGCTTTAAGCTAGATTTTCACACTGGTTTCCATTGTCTTATAATATCAGCTGTTGAAGAATTATTCCCATCCTTTGCACAGGTTATTGTGTGTATACTATTACGCAATTTCACTCGTGATGTTGAAACACACAATAACTATCTTGTGGAGTTTTATTTTAAAATGCACAAATGGTTTTGTATCTGCTTATCCAATTAATATGGGACCTGAGGTGTTTGCATTAGTTAAGGAACCAGTGAAAGATTGAATCAGAAAATGGAAATACAGCAGAAGTAGTAAAACTAAGAATTCACTTGCAACGTTACAATTATGTCAGTGTTAAGAAAATTGGATTCCATCTTCATCCCCAAAATAGGTTACTGGAGTGACTTTGGCAAGTCACACTGTCTCAGTCACAGAAGAAGGCCTGGCAACCCCTCTCTGGACAAATTTTGCTAAGAAATTTGTAACTTTGGGGTTAACATAAGAAACCACATGAGGATACACAACCACCACCACAATGACAAACTACTCCCCAATAATTTTCAGTTTCACAGCCTAAATTTTAAGAGGCCCAATCTGAAAGCCAAAAAACTACAAGATCTGTCACTCAACATGAACCAGCAGCTTGCTGGCCCTTGCTGTTTAATTACTCCCACTTAGACTTGGAGTAGTTAAACAAATCATGGAGCTTTGCTCTGTGATTAGTTTCTTGTATTATCTGGCAGTGGGCAGTTTCCTTTCCCTGGCTTATCTCCTTCCAATAAAACTAGAGAAACAAGCCAAAAAGAAAACCTGGATGCTGTCTCTAGTTTGTTACGAGGGCATTCACCAGAGAAAGGAAACTGCCCACTGTTTGACTGCTCTCATGACAAGCAGGAGCAATCAGGCATACAGCTTATTTGTAACATATTTGCAGATATCTGGCTTGTCACAGCAAGCAAATATTCCTAATATTAGCACTTTATTTCAGAAACACAAAGCAGCTTTTTTAAAAGAAAAAATGTATATTTTACTTACTGATTTGGAAGCAAACATATCGATATAAAATCCCAGCATCAATATAAAGTGAATTACAGCATAGACACGGAGGTAACTTGGCAATTTGAGATTGAAGGGAACTTCCTTTCCTGTAATCTATGTGAAATACAGTAGACAAGAGAATATTCTCATGACCTATATATTACTCTCTTAATTTTATTTCCAGTTATTAAAAATAATTATTCATCTTAAACATTTTATTAACAGTTCCTTTTAAATATAAGTTGAATCCCCTCCGCAAAATAAAGAGACCAGACACAAGATGTGGAGAAATAATGGGATGTTTATTGACCTAATTAGAAAACTGGTAATTGAAATAAGTAACTAGTTGTGGAGGGAGTACTGGAACATGGGTAATGGCATGAGGCCAGGTGTCATTCTCAGACTACCTACCCAGGCAACCACTGGGCAAAGCACCTGACCCTGGGGGCACTCCACATTGATGGTTTGCTATCCCAGCCGGTCATCATTACTGGAAGGCCGTCCCTGGGTATCCCCCCCCCCCTGTCCCGAGCCATATAACCTAATAGGAGAGAGGTAAACCCTCAAGTAAGCTCTAAAGCAGAAATCTTGGGGAATTCCCTAAGCCATAGAACTGCAGGTAGTCTCCTAAAACCACTCCCCCTCCCCTCTACAGACTGGCGGCAATGCTAGTCTAGGAGATCCCTGGTCTTTTTGATGGGAGAATTCAAACGCTCCTCTCTGGCCATGCGGTTGGCCCTTGTCTGGAGGTGAGTGTATGGAATACAATCTGGAGTATAGGAAGAAATATTGCCCTGAGCAGTTGGATCAGGTAAAAGCAAACTGCTGTAACCTAGCTTATGTGTTTTTCCCATTAAAAACTTCATTTTCTGATTAATTTGTTTTTTCTTTTCAATTTATATATTCATAAAACAAATATATATACATGTATATATGTATGAACCAATACTCTACTTCCTAACATCTATATAATATTCATATTTGGTTATTTGGTTATACTCACCCTCTTCCAATTTAGTGACTTCTCATCCCTTGGTTTAGAGACATTTAGATATAATTCTGTTCATCATTCCTATTAGATAGTTTTTTCTATTTTTCCTTCTGGCTGATATTTATTATTTCTATATTCCCTACACAGATTCTAACAGGTTAAATTATGTAGCTGTCTTCTTTTTTCTAATAAGTTTAGAAGTGGTTCCCAGTCCTTAATAAAGAGATTTGTGTTTTTTCTTTGTTTATTATTGCCAATTTGTCAATTTCTGCTATTTTAAAGACTTAAACTATCCATTCTTCTATTGTTGGGCAGTCTGCCTTCTTCCAAAACTGTGCATATAATATTCTCGCTGCTATTATCATGTAGTGCAATCTCTTGTAGTTTGATGATTATGTTTGTTTATTTGACATTAATAACTTTCTTCATCTTGATAACATTCTGCACTTGATCACATATATCATGGTTTTCATCTTTTCTGAAATGAGATTTATAGGACCAAAAACGCCTTAGTCACATCCTGCTTGGATGACTGTAATGCTCTCTATATGGGGCTGCCTTTGAAGATAGTTTGGAAGTTCCAACTCATACAGATAATCGCAGCCAGACTATTAACTGGGGCTCCGCATAGAGAGAGCACCATTCCCATGTTGCAGCAGCTCCACTGGCTGCCAATTTGCTTCCAGGCTAAATACAAAGTGCTGGCCATTACCTTTAGAGCCCTAAACAGTTTGGGCCCTGCCTATCTAGCAAACCACATCTCCTTGTACAAGCCTATCCGGACTCTTAGACTGGCTGAGGAAGCCCTACTCTCAGTCCCATCCCCGTCTCAAGCACAGCTGGTGGGAACAAGAGGGGGGGGGGCTTTTTGGTGGTCACCCCTTGCCTTTTGAATGCCCTCTCCAATGAGTTCAAAATGCCCCCCTCCTTACTCTCCTTTAAGAAGCAACTTAAAACATTCTTGTGCTCTCAAGCATACAATAAGAAAGAGGAATAAAGTTCATAATACTGATTAAGCGGAATGGAAAGGGAACAGATATGACGTTTTACCTCAGCTGGTTTTAATGATAATTATTTAATGATAACTATTTGATGCACCTGTTTTTTTATTCATGGCACAATGTTTTGTATTGTTTTCTGGTCAAATCTTTATCCTTAGTTCATATAGGCACTGAATGTTTGCCTGATCTCACGCTGGAAGCTGCCCTGAGTCCCCCAGGGCAGGGAGATGGCGGGTTACAAATAAAGTTTATTATTATTATCAAGAAACTTTTTTAAAATTTAAAGCCTTATTATACTTGCCTCAGGAATGTCCTTAAGAAGTCCTAGCCTTGGCTTGCCAGGTCCCCATCCTGGCCCCTTAAATATGACAGAAAGCTTATTGCAGAAACCAGGCATATTCCAAAATGTCTTCCCTATATAAATGCCATGATGAAACTGTGAAGATGGAAAAATCAAACATTCACATTGTTCACATTCAAGCATTTTTGAGAATGCAATTACTAGAAAAGACATGTTCATCTCAATATGTTTTCAGAAAATATCATCCTGAAGACACACAATTGTGGAGAAGAATCACACCGATATGTGAAATCAGATCCTTTTCTTGCTTAAACTGCGCAGAATTTTGATCCGAGCAAAATTCAGAGAATGTGGCAGCTATTTTTAATATGGGAACAAAAATTATCAAAAGGATTTGACCCATCCACATATTCAAATATTTGCCATATTCTACACTGGCTATGGTAATCTCTGTGCAATTTCTCAAGAAGTAGACTTTGTATAATATATTATAAATTAATAATAGTAATAATAATAATAATTCCTATTGAAATATGTTCACAGCCTTTTCAGTATAACATGTTAGAATGGTTATGGGGCCATTTTCTGAAGGCTGGCAATTTAAATTACAATGATGACATAAAAATTGGTCTATGATCAGGGCTTTGATATTACATTTTAGTGAATGGACCAGGAAGTAACTTCATAAAAGGATACTTTGTTCTAATAAGAAAACAAACAATCTTTGAAGTTCAAGAATATTTATTCTAGGGAATAACCAAAATTAGCTTGATTCTCATCTTTGGAAATGAATTAAAAACAATATAATGAAACAACAGAAGTGATAGGCAAAACAGTGTAATTTGACTCACTATTGTAATTTCCATATTTAAGCATGCAAATAGCTTATCAAAACAGCTAAATAAAGGCTACCTGGATCTTGAAAGGTTCGAAGGTGTTTATAGGGTGTGTTAGGCCATATATAACTTTATCTTTTTCTGCAGCAAAGGTTCCTGCATGGAAGAAAACACTAGATTTTTTAATAAAAACACTTTTCAAAACATTGGCTTCAAGGAAAAAATGTATTTATACTTACCAAAAATTCTGTCCCAAATTATCAGTGTGCCACCATAATTTTTATCAATGCAATATGGATTTCTTCCTTTAGTACAGAAAAGTACAAAATATCTTTGTCACTCACTGCTAAATTATATATCTAGTCTATATCCATATTTCGCTATGCTCATACTGAGAAGTGCATCTATACTGTAAAATTAATCCAATTTGACACCATTTTAATGGTCATGGTTCAATGCTATGGAATCCTGGGATTTGTAGGGACACTAGCACTTTTTGGTGAAGAAGTCTAAAAGCCTTGGAAAACGACGAATCTTGTGGATGTATAGCATTAAACCATGCAGTTAAAGTGGTGTCATACTGCATCAATCAATTTTTCTCTTTTCATTTCCAGAGAGTTCCATTTAAACTAGGTTTATTGACCCTATTTCCACATCAGTTTGAAGACATCTTTTTTGAAAATGGTCTTAATTAAAATTTATGTACATGTGGACACAGAGAAAAACTCACAAACATTTTGTGTCGATTACTTCTGATATATTCAAAACTGAAATCAGCATGTCCCAAACGTCTCTCAAAGATAATTGTGAGTCACTTGTATTTTAGTTGTAAAAATCACAGGTGGAAAAAGTATTAACTTCTGCAGACTGCCATTAGGATGGCAATAGAAAGAATACCTATCAGTTACTGCAACTGTTCTTTCTGTATTACTGTCCTATATAAAACAACTTCAAAGAATAAACACTACAGTACGCAATGGGTTAAACACTTGTGCTGCTGACTGCTGACCTGAAGATTGGCTGCACTGCTGACCTGAAGGTTGGCAGCTTGATTCTACAAGACGGGGTGAGCTCCTATCTGTCAGCCCTAATTCCTGCCAACCTAGCAGTTTGAAAACATGCAAATGCGAGTAGATAAATAGCTACCGCTTCAGCAGGAAAAGGCAAAGAGATGCTCCAAGCAATCTTGCTGGCCACATGACCAGGAGATGACAATGCTGGCTCCTTGGCTTGAAAATGGAGAAAAGCACCCCCCAAAAGCCAGAGATGAGCAATGTCTTGAGAAGCTGGAAATGAAAGTAGAAGCCTTGCCTTTGTCTGTGTGTCTCATGTGATTGTAAAGGCATTGCATGTTTGCCTGTGTATGTAAATCCTGTAATCCACTCTGAGTCCCCTAGGAGGGAAGGGCAATAAAGTGCATTATTATTATTGTTATGACACCTACCATGATGTACTCTATGATGACTGGGGGTATTGAGAATAAACTCCAAAGGACCAAGATTGCTAATAACCTTTGGGAAGTAAAAAGAAAAGAAAAAGTAAGGTTGCTTACCTGTAACCATGTTTCTTCTAGTGGTTAACTGTGAAATTCACACCTGTGGTATTTCCCTGCGTCCACGCAGCTGACTCGGATCTTTCTTGAAAGCTTTTCCTAATTAGGGACTCCAGCCCCGCCCATCTACTCCTAATAAAGCCAGGCAGCGGGGCTTGGAGCCTTAGTTCCGTACCGTGAAAGACAGTCGGAGATAAAAGGCATGACAGAATGTGGGGAGGATGGGCGGGTTGTGTGAATTTCACAGTTAACCACTAGAAGAAACATGGTTACAGGTAAGCAACCTTACTTTCTTCTGCGTGGTACTGTGAAATCCACACCTGTGGTAGACTAGCGAGCAGTCCCACGGATGGTGGGTGTCATGCTGGTGCAGAAAAAAGTACTGCTCTCCCAAAAGCCGTCTCCTTCTTGGCAGCTAAATCCAATTTATAATGGGAGACAAAAGTATGCGGTGTTGACCATATGGCCACCCGACAGATATCATCCAGAGGCACACTGTGCAAAAAAGCCATGGAGGCTGCCAATGCTCTAGTGGAATGAGCATGGATCTGAACAGGTAAGTCCAGTCCTGCCATTTCATAAGCTAGCCGGATAGCTGCAACTATCCAAGCCACCACCTCTGGGTAGAAACAGGAAGGCCCACAGTATCCCTACGGTACTTAACAAAAAGTCGTAGTGAGTTCCGTAATGGAGCTGTGCGGTGGACATAAAAAGCAAGAGCCCTCCGCACATCAAGAAGGTGCAAAGACTGCTCCAGGGGAGTAGAAGGATTTGGAAATAAGGTTGGAAGGACAATGTCCTGAGACATATGAAACTATGATGCTGCCTTAGGTAAGAAGGGAATGTCTGTGCCCAGCATGACCTTATCCTTATGAAATTTCACGTAAGGACTATCGACTCAAGAGCCATAAGCTCGCTAGCGCGACGAGCAAAAATAATAGGCACTAAAAATGCTGTTTTCCATGAAAGATGGAACATGTCAGAAGTGGCCATTGGCTCAAATGGTGGTTTCATAAGGGCGGAAAGAACAACCTCCAACCTCCAACAGGGGGGCACAGGCCTACTTGGGGCCAGAAATTTCTAAAGCCTTGCAGAAATCTCTTTACAAGAGGATCGGATAAAGGAGAGGGAAGAGAATGCTCGCTTCTAAACGAATCTATATTTGCCAGATTGACCTTCAAGAATGATAATGAGAGTCCTCAATCTGACAGAGAAATCAAGAAATTCGGGAGGAGGGAAGTGGAAGCAGACAGAGGCTGAACTCCTTGCTTTTGTGAAAAAATGCAAAAATGACACCACTTATAAATGTAAGAATGTTTAGTGGCAGGTCTCAGGGCAAGGTCCAAACTGCTCTTTACTGGTTGAGAGAGGGCTGAGGCTGGATCTGCCACGCCGTCAACCGGAACTGAGTGACCTGGGAGTACGGGACTGGGCTGTTGCCCATAGTCAGCAAGTCTGGTCTGAGTGGCAACTGAATGTAACAGCTGCCTGCAAGTTGGAGCAGAGTGACAAACCATGGCTGGCGGGGCCACCATGGTGTGATGAGAATGCAATCTACCTGCTCTGCTTGAAGACGAGAGACCACTCTGGACAGCAGTGGCAGTAGTGGAAAGATGTACAGGAGGGCGGATGTCCAATCCAGGAGGAAGGCATCTCCCAACAGCCTGTCTGGTGGAGGTAAGACGTGCTCCAAAGAACTGGCACTTCATGTTGGCGGGAGAGGCAAACAAGTCCAGAAGGGGAGTTTGCCATCTGACAAAGAGTTCCCATCCCTGGGAAGGATGAAGGGACCATTAGTGGTCATTATAAACTGTCTGACTGAGGGAGCCAGCAAGAGAGTTCTTGATGAATGGCACTGATGGTTATGGTATACCAGTCCCAGATTCTGATGAGGGCAAGCAAATCACAATTGTGGTGGTGGTGGTAAGCTGGACAATACTGTCCATGAGCAAATGACAGATAAGGTGCAGTGCCATTTCTACTGCAAGTAACTCCAAATAGTTGATGTGCTCTATGCCCTCTAGGGCCGCCCAAGGACCATGGATGGTGTGACCCTTGAGGCGAGCTCACCACTCTGAGAGGGAAGTGTCTGTTGCTAACATCGCCCACACAGAGATTGGAGCGATGAGTCCACTAGTTGATAGACCGGTGGATGGCTAAAGGGACATTGAGACATTCATTGGGCTCATCCTGCATGGGATGAAGTGCCCGAAGAAACCAATTCTGGAGAGGCCGAAGGTGCAAACAGGAGAAAGGAGTGGCAGCTGTGGTGAATGCCATGTGTCCCAAAAGGCACTGGACATCCCTGGCATGGATGTATGGCTTCTTCCAGACTCAAAGAGCTAATGAATGCAGAGTCAGAAACCTGTCTGAAGGCCCTTGCATGCCAAGAGTCCAATACAGGCCCAATGAATTGGTTGTTTGGATAGGCTGAAGAAGAGATTTTACCTTGTTGATAAAAAGACCAAGCTCCTGCTATAAAGACAGAGTAAAGTGAATGTTCCTCTGTAGATACTCACAGAACTGTGCACCAACAACCAGCCATCAATATAGGGGCAAACTACCACCCCGTGCACCCAGGGATGAGCCGGCATACAGCCATCTCCTTAGTAACACCTGTGGAGCTGTGGAGATACCATAATGAAGAACTTGAAATGAAAAGGCCTGACTGCTAGTAAAAAGTGACAAAAATCTACTGTCTTGTGGTCTAATCACCACATGAAAATAGGCATCCTTCAAATCAATGCTACTGAACCATGTCTTGCTGGATAACAGAGGGAGGATGGTTGGTAATGACAACATCTGAAATTTGCAATATGCAATATATGCATAAAGTCCTCTAAGGTCCAAAACTGGCCAAAGCCCACTGCCTTTCTTGGAAACCAAAAAGTATTTGGGGAAAAGGGAAAAGAAGGAAACATAGAAAGATGTAAAGAAGCTACTGCTCCTTTTGAAACAAAGTAATTACCTCCTACTATAACACAGGAGGAGGAGTGGCCCGTAGAGTCCCTACTGGGGACAGTTTGAGAAATTAAATTGCATAAACATGCTCTGTAATCACCAACACCCATGAGTGAGAAGTGATCTAATGCCATGCATCTAAAAATGATGAGGTGGAGCGCCAAAAACTGGAGCTGAAGGGTTGGAGGCTATTAAAGAAGAGAAAATGCATGCTAAAAACACTGTTGGCCCTGATCTTCTTCTTTCCCTTTAGTTTGTTGTCACCCCTGGTGGAAAAATTAAGTCTCCCAGCTACAGAGGCCCTAGAGTTCTGGCCCTGCTGAGGACTGAAGGAAGCAGGTCATGAAGGTTGATGATAATTAAGCTGAGGGGCTGGCCACCACAATCTAGGCTAGATTGTGGTAAAAAGCCAAACTTAGAAGCAGCCTGTCAAATCTTGTGCGTACTTTTGAAATGAGGGTCTGTATCAGGATGAAACAGACTATGTTCTGCCATGGGCAGTTATTCTGCCATTGCTCTGCCTTCTTTGGAGAGGGTAGAGGATCTCAGCCAACCATGCTGGTGGATGGCTGCTGCAACAGCAGCAAACACCTTTAGTACTGTATCGGTGCTGTGCTTAGCCATAGCTTTCTGATGAGAAGCTAAGGTGAGAGCTTACTGACAGAAAGCCCTTAGGATCTGTTGATGTTGTAGGGGAAGGAGATCCAAATAAAGTGCTGAGCTATGCCACAAGAGCACCTGATAGGCTGCCATACAAGCATGGTAATGAATCATGCAAGTGAGTAGGCTAGCAGTGGGGTGGATCTTCTTATCACAGTGGACTGACTTGAGGTGCCTTCGCTTTCTTGGATTAAACAACTTTGACCACAATAAAGTTCAGTTTAGTAGGCTTAACTAACCACTCTGTTGAAGAGGTGCCTATGCTGTAAAGTGCATTTACAAACTTAGAAATTCCAGCACAGATACAGGAGTTGCCTTTTGTTTTTCTCCAAGCTTAAGCAAGTATGGAAGTGCTGGGAGAACTGGGAGAACTGTACTTGGAGCTTGTTTCTGCTGTTGCTCAACTGAGAAAAGCAGATCCTCTAAGCAATCAAGGAGGAAAAATTAGGTAACACATCCCTTATGGAAGCTGGGATGGAAAAGTCCTCCTCAAGAGTAGGAGAAATCTGCTACTCATAGGAGTCAGAATCTACATCAGACTCATTGACTGGTTGCAGCTGAAAGGAAGCACCAGAATGAGCTTAGGAAAAAGTCTTATTAAACTCCTGAAAACCAAAAGAAGGGACTCCAAATCCTTGAGAAGGAAAGGAGGGTGCAGTTTGTGCCTATTCAAAATAGTAGCAACCTACCTGTTGAGGCATGGACCAAGTGGCAGATGGGGCCCAAAAGAGACAGTACTTACATTCTGAGCCGTCACTGAAGCTCCCAGGCGGCATGATGCAGAGGGAGGATGGTAGCCCGAA